TAAGCAGCACCAGGCTAGCTGGTACCACCACATCCCTATAGACTGGGTGCTCGCTGTATCAGACAACGGCTGGACGACAGATAAGCTCGGCGTAGAGTGGGTAAAGCACTTTAATAGATATACAGCGCCTCGTACGCATGGAGTCTACCGGCTTCTTATCCTAGATGGCCATAGCAGCCACGCCACGCCTGAGTTCGACCAGTACTGCACAGAGAACAAGATCATCACTCTCTGTATGCCAGCCCATACCTCCCACCTGCTCCAGCCACTTGATGTGGGCTGCTTTTCCCCGCTCAAGCGAGCGTACGGTCACGAGATCCAGGAGCTAGCTCGCTAAGGCGTCTACCATATTGACAAGATAGACTTCCTTACCGCCTATACACGGATCCGGCCAGCAGTACTTACGCAGCAGAACATCCAGGCAGGCTTCCAGGCGACAGGGCTTATCCCTCCCTGTCTAGAACGCGTCCTATCGTCGCTCACTGTCGTCCGTACGCCGTCTCCACTAGGGACAACAGCAGACAACAACGTCGCATGGACTGCAGAGACACCGCGTACGATAGCGTAGCTTAAAAAGCAGGCTTAACACGTAAAGGACCTCCTTTACCGCTAGTTGCAGAGCCTAACAAGCCAAGCTATACGCTAGCTTGTTAAAGGTTGTCAGCTTGCGATGAACTTAGCGACTATACTCGCAGAGGAGAATAGGAAGCTTCGTACAGCTAGTCAGCGCCAGCGACGTAGGAGAGACTAGCGACGTTAATATATAGCTTGTGGAGGAGCGCTATAGGCCTAGCAAGGCTAGTAGCTCGCTATAGAGGCAGAAAGGGTGGTCGTGGAGGTAGAACAAGCTTAGGCTACTTAGGGACGTTAGCGCGCACCACTAACGTGTACGAAGTGCTATATCTAAGGACACACTAGGACTTAATGTAGACAGTAATAGACTAGCTATGTACAAGATTGTATTCTATTATCTTATGTTGTTGTAGAGCTATCGCGTAGAGAGTCGCGTCAAGTTAGGTGGGGTGCGCAGCTTACTAGTGGAACACAGTATTTGTCACTAAAAACTACCTACCACTCTAATTACTCTAACTCTGTAACCTTCTGATGTTCCTTGACCCTATTTGCAACCTTTATCCTATGTGGGGGGGAAAAACGCTCTTGTCAACAAACCTACTATCCCAACCCCATGGAATGGTTAATGCAGCAATAATAATTGCATATATACAAATATCGTTAGTAGGATCGATATTGTACGATAAATCATACTCCAGAACATTCTCTTCCTGCCCAGCTATGCTAACAATTTCGCCTGAACCTCTATTCTCTGTGACATAGATAACCCTCTTTAATGTTTCCTTTGACTTAGAGTATACTTTGCCAAAGAATTTACGAATAGAGCTACCCTGTTGAGGGCAAACCCGGCCCGTATCGCCACGACCAGCTGAAGTACCACTCTTTTCATCTCTGACACACAGTGCCCTACTTTGGGTATAGGGGTTTGGAATAGGGGTTCGTGGAGCAGTACCATCGTTGTTTACCTGTTGACAGGTGTAGGTGTTCTGGCAGACATCCACATAAGTGCGTACGTTGTCGGTACTAGGATGCCTGCAAGTATAGGTAAACTCGTTGCCGCGTTGTGCAAGGCAATTAGTTGTGGTGTGTTCAAAAAACACCAACTTACGGGCTCGGCAAAGTTCGACAGGATCTGGAAAGTACCAACTTGACGCTCTTTTAGCAACATGAAGTGCTACATCCGATGAATTCGTAGAGCCAATGTTATCAGAAGGTAATCTAGATGTAGAGTTTGGTGCTGCGCCTAAGCAGGTATGGAGTGTGTCGTCACAAGTAGGATCCGAAGTCGCCGAACACGAGTTGTAGGTGTTGATGCAAGCAATAGCGCATGTTTGATAAACGGCACTACAGTCGGTAGAACTCGATGCCGCTGTACACGCAATGGCTTGATCATTGCAGTCTAGAGAAGTATTGCTGGTGGTTTTTAGGCTAGCACCTATAGCCAGTGTAGCGAAAGATATTAAAAGATAACGCATTAGGAACCCCTAGAGTGAAAATAAAGATATGGTGTTAAGTAGTGATAGTTCTTTGTGATATTTTTATTAAGTGTTAAAGTCCTTTCTACTTATATATGTAGTAGAACAATCTACCCTAGTTCAATAAAACATAGTCCTATAGAGTAGTTAATGTGGGAATTAACTAGAAGCAAGGATTATTCTTATAAAGAGCTAATTTTAGGCTATAAAATGCTAAACATAGTATTATAAGAAAGATGCTAGTCTGTCAGCACTAGCCTGTTAGCTCGTAAAGTTTAGACAAAGGTTTACAATTTTAACAAGCGGATAGTTTAGTGCTGATATAGGGACTTCGCTCATAGTGGGATAGACGTTAGGCTACCAAACATATAGAGGTGTGTATCAAGGATCCTGACTCGCGCAGCAATAGGGGTATGTTAGCACTAGCCTGTCCGCTCGTAAAGTTGAGGGTGTGTTCAAGGCACATTTCCTGTTCTAACCCCAAGTGGGGCTAGTAGCTAGATTTTAGTAATTGTAGTGCTTACGTAGCTATACCTAACGTTATAGTAATAGTTATTAAGGTATTAAACTCTATTTTTTCTAGTTCTAATTCTATGATAGATTAAAGTTTTAATAAATTATTAGATATAATACTCTATTAGTATATAACTATTTAGAACTAAAAATATAGATCGAGCTATATCTATACTAGACATAGAGCTAAAGCTCTTACTTAGTAATCTTTGATAGCAGCTACCTTGCTACCGCTATTCTAGTATAGCTAGCAGCTATCAATATCTCTACTTGTACTAGTGTCAGATCACGTGTAATATTTGAGTAGGTGACAGATTCTGGGTGCTTGATCACACCTAGTGTCAGATTAGGGTGTGTTTGGCAGCAGGTTCGGGTTCCGGTTCTAGGTGGGGCAGGTGGCTGATTTTTCGTGATTTTAGTGCTGACGCAGCTATACCAAATTTAATAGCGAAGTACAAGGGGGTGTTTGGCTGCGTTTTTGCCGGTTTAGGTTCCCACTCGAGTTGAAGCTGTCTCTGACTGATCGGCCTATCACCTTGTTAGTACGGAGGTGACTGTCAAAAGTTCTTGCTAGCGCCACGCTAAGCCGCCAGCCTATCGGCCCGACCATTCTTGGCGCCCACACTAATTTTTTGAAGCTGGCGATAGCTTGTATACTTATTTTTTTGAGTGTTTTTGATCTACTATAGCTCTAAATACGGATATATCAACCCGCTCTTTTATTGTTGCATTGAAGTCACCTTTTAGTGGCAAATCTACACGCGAAATTGCAGAAATGACAGGCATATCGCCGCGTACGATTGACTTAATTTATGGTAGAGCCTGCCAGCGAGGCTTTAAGCCTAACGCACGCCTAATTAAGATCCTTCCGCAGTACCTCGAAGATGCCCCGCGCGCAGGCCGCCCTCGTAAACAAGAAGAAATACACGACGCTACTCTTAAGAACGTACGCCGCGATAGGTATAGGAGAGAGAAGAGCTGCGCTAATATTGCTAGTGATCTTAGTGTTCACGGCTACAACGTCTCGTCGTCCACCGTATGGAGAGTCCTTCGAGCAGCTGGTTACAACAAGACGAAGCCGACGAGGAAGCCTAGGTTAACGACGAAGATGAGACAGGAAAGACTTAAGTGGTGTCTTGCCTATAAAGATTGGACACTTGAAGATTAGAAGAACGTTATTTAGTCAGATGAGACTTCTGTTGTTCTCAACCACCGTCGCGGTGGCTATCGTGTGTGGCGACGCCTAGATGAAGTCTTTACCAAAAGTGTTATCTGAGAGCGGTAGAAGGGCTACTCTAAATTTATGTTCTGGGGCTGCTTCACGTACGACTACAAAGGTCCTTGCCATGTCTGGAGGCCTGAGACTGCGCAGGAGAAGAGAGACGCCGCTCTCCAGATTGAAGAGTTGAATAAGGCTCTAGAGCCTCTCATGAGAGAGGCGTGGGAGCTTACAACAGGCATAAAGAGGCTTGGATTACGTAACAAGCCTGGCAGAGTTCCACAATGGAGATGGGTAAAAGAGACGGGTAAGCTAGCTCGTGAGAGCAGTCGTGGTGGCATTGATTGGTGGCGTTACCAGACTCAAGTTCTTATCCCAAAGCTGATTCCCTTCGCAAAGGAGTGCCAAAAAGAGAGACCACGTGTCTTTGTTCAAGAAGATAAGGCACCTTCGCATACCCACCACGCTCAAAGAACTATATACTGAAACGCTGAGGTGGAGCAGCTCCCATGGCTAGGCAATTCACCTAATCTTAACGCTATTAAAGCAGCCTAGCCATGGCTCAAAAGAAAAACAACACGAAGAGGCGCACCAAAAAGTCGGGCGGAAGGGACAAAAGTATAGCAACAGTACTAGGATGAGCTACCTCAACACCAAATTCAAGCTTAGATAGAGCGTATTCCGTTTCATATTCAAGAAATCATTAAACTTGAAGGTGGCAATGAGTACAAAGAGGGGCGGCGGGACCGATCTACATAGCTTCGGCCCTATTTTCGGCGGTAATCAATGCACCCCTGTCAGCAAGAACTTTTGACAGTCACCTCCGTACTTTAGAAAGGCACCTCCGTACGCTTTTCTAAATATAAATACTTCCACCAAATATAGAAAAGGGTTTAATTCTCGGTAAATGTAAAAAAATAAGGTATATAGATCAATGAATCTAGTGGCTGTTAGTTTTTAGCATGCTTCAAGATCATCTGAGACCCCTTTCTACCTCTACAGGCCCTACACATCTCTCTACACACTCATTATAAAACTTCTGAGCTAACGTGCGGGATCAGTAAGTGGGCCGGATCAGTTAGTGGGCCACCCCACCAAACCTCATGCGACGCTCCACGCCATTGAGCCACAACAACGCAATAATATTAGATAGAAATAAGAGATATTATTCTTTATCTAGCTCTACATGAAGTCTAAGTATGTCCTTGAACGTGGCACTTTGTACACGTTGGCGGCGCGCGCTAGCGTCGCTCGCCAGCCTGGTTCTAGTCACCCCCCATGACTACCCTTTCTGCCTCTGCAGCTATCTGCTGAGCCTCTTGGGCTTGGAGCACTCTACTAGAAGCAATATATTAACGCTGCTAGTCCTGCTTTTGTCGCTGGCGCTAGACTTCTACACGTAGCTTCTTATTCTCCTCTATAAGTATTGTTACTAATTACATAGCAAGCTAAGCGCTTTTAGCAAAGAGACCAACACCAACTTCGAGTTTTCTAGAAACCGCTAGAAAAGCACGCTATCTAGGAGAACCGACTGGGGG